CAGCAAGATCAAGAAATACCTTGACAATGACAGTCTGAGGACAGTTATCCAAGCCTGTGTCACATCACGTTTTGACTATGCAAATGCCCTCCTCAATCGGACTACTGCCACTAACATCAAACTACTGCAACAAGTGCAAAACAGTGCTGCGAGGATGCTGACTGGTACCAAGAGAACTGACCATATCACCCCTGTCCTGAAATCACTCCATTGGCTACCCGTAGAGCACTGCATCACTTTCAAGACTCTTTCTATCACATATTCAGCACTTAATGATGAAAACTCCCCAACCTATATTAAGGACATGTTACATCACTACCAACCCACAAGAGCTTTAAGATCAGCCGATGATAAACTACTTCATGTTCCTAAAACTAACACAAAGATGGGCGAAGTCTTATTTTTGCAGCTCCAAACCTGTGGAATACCCTACCACTGGAAATCAGAAATTGTCAAACAAAAGACTCTTTTATAACTCGTCTGAAGACATATCTTTTTTCCGCTCACTTCAACAAGCGCCGTTGAGCAGTCATGTCCAATCTGGAAACCAAGCGCTATACAAATCAATTATCATTCATTATCATTCATATATTGGGTGCCATAATTGATTTATTGCTATAATCATTGCTCTTGTATTTTACTGCGTTTTGTGAACTTAGTTAATTTATGTTGATAGAATGGTCGTTTCAGTACGGAAGCGTAGTAGGGCCACGGTGAAAAATGTTTTTGGTGTCACTAGTTCCTACGTAGGACTTACTATCTCCTACGTAGGACTTAGTATCTCCTACGTAGGTCTTAGTATCTCCAACGTAGGACTTAGTATCTCCTACGCAGGACTTAGTATCTCCTTCGTAGGACTTAATATCTCCTTCTACGTAGGACTTAGTATCTCCTACGTAGGACTTAGTATCTCCTACGTAGGACTTAGTATCTCCTACGCAGTCCTTAATATCTCCTTTTTAAGGTTCGGATTTATGAAGCATGGTTATTAAGTTGAGAAATGTTTGGTTATGCAGGACGTTAGATAGTAGATATGCAAGTCAGTGAATATTCATGACACTAACGCAGTGTTACTATACAGTGTTATTGTGTGTGTGTGTGTGTGTGTGTGTGTGTGTGTGTGTGTGTGTGTGTGTGTGTGTGTGTGTGTGTGTGTGTGTGTGTGTGTGTATTACGTTAGGGTGACGTGGACCTTGATCTAATTGCAGTTATGGAGTTTGGGTATGGTTATGTTTGATCTAACATACATGCATCTATTCACACAGAGAGAGAGAGACAGACAGACAGAGAGAGAGAGAGAGGTGGGAGTTGTGGTGGGTGGGTGTGGGGGGTAAGATTCTGATATGATACACGTCCTCCGCAAGTTGTTGCTTGCCTTCAGATGGGGCTAGGTTGGATCGGTTACAACGCTCGTTTGCGTTGACTTAACAAGTTGACTTGACTGGGGTGGAAAAGTGTTGAGTGCGGCGTTCAAATACAACAATACGAAATTCAAAAAGGAAAAAGATTGCCATTATAGTTATTTGTATAAGTATAAGGGAATGAGTACGCATAGATTGCCACCGATATTCTAAGACAAGTCTGTGCACGCAGATTATGACTCATGTGCAACGACCTCTGAACTATCCAACGCATAATAGTAAAGTGTAACAAAGTGCAACATATAACAGTGAACTAACTGCAACGTGTAATAGTAAAGCAAACTGAAAGCAAGGCAGTAAAGTACAACAGTCGGTCCAACACAAGGCAGTAATGTGGAACAATTAGTTGAACACATGACACTGATAGTGAAGGAAACAGTAGACTCTGATAGTAAATGAAACACATGCATGATAGTAGACTCTAATGGTAAATAAAACACATAACTGTAGACTCTAATAGTGAATGAAACATATGATTGTAGACTCTAACAGTGACTGAAACAGTGAAATAAGAGATTGTTTGCATGTCGGGGTATTTAAGTCGACCATTTCAGGTTAATGTATATTAACATATATCTCCTACAGGAGATGTTAAGTACGACGTGGGAGATACTAAGTCCTACGTAGGAGATATTAAGTACTAAGTAGGAATTACTAAGTACTACATAGGAGATAGTAGGTCCTACGTAGGAGATATTAAGCACTACGTAGGAGATACTAAGTCCTACGTAGGAGATATTATGCCCTACGTAGGAGATACTAAGTACTAAGTAGGGGATATTAAGTACTAAGTCCTACGTAAAGAGATACTAAGTCCTACGTAGGAGATACTAAGACTTACGGATGAGATACTAAGTAATAAGTCCTATGTAGGAGATATTAAGTCCTACGTAGGAGATACTATAAGTCCTACGTAGGAGATACTAAGTCCTACATAGGAGATACTAAGTACTACGTAGGAGATAATAGTACTAAGTCCTACGTAGGAGATACTAAGGCCTACGTAGGAGATACTAAGTAATAAGTCCTACGTAGGACATACTAAGTCCTACGTAGGACTTATTATCTCCTACGTAGGAGATAATGAGACTAAAAAAACAGTTTCACCTTGGCCCTACTACGCTTCCGTATTTCAGCGCATTTCCTTCTTGTGCGTTGTTTGCACTTCTACTTCTTTTACTCATTCCCGGTTCACTTCTTAGTTTCAACAACCTGGCACTGTACATGTAACAGTCCACCTTTGACAGGTTAGTGGGAGGTTATGGCTAATTAAGCTGATCAGTAGTGGGTGCGCTGATAAAGACTTGATTTTCAGATGTATGATGAATTCACGTTTGTAATTTTATGTTTCTGAAACTTAAACTCAAAGAAAGTCCATGCTTTCCTCCGGAGCCATCATCAGTCGTCTCTTACTTGTATTTCAACTGTTTCTCCTTTTCTTTTAATTTCAGAAATTCTCATTTGTATTCAGATCAGAGGGATATGTCAATCATTTCCTGTTTTACTGACATGTTGTATCTAATCTGGAAAGGTGGGTAGTAGGACAAAACTATCCATTGTCTTAATAGCAATGATCTGTTCAGGCCATTAGCCAAAATACAACACAATATAACAAAAATACTTAAAAGTGCCCGTGCGAAACATGGCGAGACCATTTACAGTATAAATACCTTCACGATCCGGGGATACCGGCTAGCGACATTACCAAAGTCTCCAGTGAGACTCAGTTCTGTGCTTGGCACCGTGATAATGCAAACTGGCATTGTATGGCTGATGTAGCTGACACAAATGCTTTACACCTTCCTATACCAGTGTTCATCATTACATGCCGTGTATTCATTTTATTACAGTGTTCTTATGAAAGACGTGTTCCTTAGACAATAACTTGGTGCATACATATTCATATTTGGGCGGTTGTATGTCACAGACAAAGTCTCCCAAAGTTGTTGATGTCGGCCATGGTGTGTTCTTGCAACACCGGCATTTACTCATGATTGGACGAGTGAGTTAAAAACCTTCAGCACAGGGTCCTACTCGGTACTGAAGCTGGAATTTCGATTTCTCAGTCAATCCCTCAATTTCAACTAAGGTATTGTAGGCAATGAACAAACGCACACAATTGTATGGAGTATTTAATTGTGAAACATAATGGAACAAAATCCGCGTAAAGGTGTACAGCTATAAAGAGAAACTGGGGCTTGTGTATACATCACTGCTGGACATAAGTATAAGGTTCCAAGCAGTAGGCCCGGTTGTCCAAAAAACGACAAATAATAATGTAAAATGAAGCACAGGCAAATACGCTTAATAAAGCCACACTGCACAAACAACGACTTTTGACATAACATGTGAAACTCTATGTAACATTGTGTGAAGTTATTCATGGGCACCATATTTAGATATTCTAATTTGATCGTACCGCTTTGTTGTAAATATGCCCAAATGAACCTTAAACCAGAGTTTTCACAATTCAGAAACGTTCTGACGAATTAGTAAAATTGACAGTATTCTGCAATACAGCGTATAACACTGTCAGTTAATGCAGTTTGTGTATAATGTAAGTCCCCTATATAGACAATATCAAAGATGAGGAAACCTCTGATCAAGTTTGACCTGTTATCTGACAGTTCGAACATATCAAACAGGAAAGTTCTGTCATTTTCCGTGTTAGTTCAATTGTATCTAATGCATATATGGTGACGTTCCGTTTGTTTAAAACTTTCCCCACGTCCATATCCTGTTGGCCAGATGGCATAGTAAACTTTGTAAATGTGACTTTAAAAATAAAATTATATACATTTGTACAGGCTTAAATCTTAAAAAATAAGACTCATCTTGTAATAACTCACGAATCCGTTCATTCGTTGAAATGCACATGAGTAATACATGACCCGATTTGTCGTGATTGGTCACTTTGTTATTTGGTGCCTAAGGTTACTTGTCCAGGTTTCCACTCACGTTTTGTTCTAAAACTAATTACTGAATACATTGTGAAAATGTATAAACATGTCAGTGCCTTAGAGTGTGATAGTTTCTGAATCATATAGGGCGCTATGTATTTTATATATTGTCTTGTATAGCCGGGCATATCTAATGAATAGTCCTGTGGTAAACAAACTGCACAACCGTGCTAATGAATAAAATACAAACATATACAGCTCACAACAAAACATTCAGCAGAAGACATTTACGGATTTACATACCCTTAAACACAAGAAGAATCAAAGTAAAACGTCAAAATAGTATTTCCAATGACAAGCCAGTCACATCAAGTTCATACTTTGCGTTCGGTAAAACATTTGCGACTGATTCATAAACCGATAAAGTATCAGATATTATAAGCAGGAAAACAATAATTTATTCATTATATGGTTGCTTGTCATGGCACATACGCCTTAACAGGAACGTCAACAATAAGCTGCTATTGAACAAACCATGTGATTCAGGACTCCAAAAGGTGTCACTTGCTTCTCCAAATTACCCGAGGATTTATCTGCCTTGGTAATCGAAACTATAGAACAATGTGTAAAGTCTAATGAATTGTGCACATGCGAGAGGACTTTTTGCATAGCAGGTCACATATCCACCCAGCAACTAGATAATGATACTGTAACATTACATAGACATGGGTACTAGGCTGCTGGTCAGAGTTCCTAATATCATCGAGGCACTTTTCAGACTAAAGTCATAACTGTCAATGTCATTCATGACGGTACATGTCTGTCCTCAAATCATCTGTTACACATCATTCTGTTACAGTCAGATTTATGTATGTATGTCTCATCGTATGTATGTGTATGTATGTATGTATCAGATGTATGTATGTATGTATCATGTATGTATGTATGTATGATTGTATGATTGTATGTATGTATGTATGTATGTATGTATGTATGTATGTATGTATGTATGTATGTATGTATGTATGTATGATTGTATGTATGTATGTATGTATGTATGTATGTATGTATGTATGTATGTATGTATGTATGTATGTATGTATGTATGTATGTATGTATGTATGTATGTATGTATGTATGTATGTATGTATGTATGTATGTAGTTAAAAGCTTGCATGAAGCCATACTCCTTCACCCACTTCTCTCATACCCCATCTAGATCATTACATTAACAGTATCGGGCTCTCCTCCACTGTAGATGTCATTGTCAACCATGACACATATTTCTTTGGGCATATCTCCGCTTTCTGAGCTCGTTTCAGCGGAGGTGTCAGTTGTAGCAGGTCCCCGCAATAGATATCGTTTTCCGTCATGTAACAAACACCAGCCCCAATGTTTCCATCATCAACGAGACAAGTATCCATGTTTTCCAGAATGGCATCGTCAGCTCTTTCATCAATGAGTTCATGTTTTGATGTGCTGTATAAAAAGTTATCAACCATTTCGGCACGATTCCCAGAAATACGTGCCTTGTCGTTTTGGTTGAATCTCAAATGCCTTGGTAATACTTTCGAGTACCGTTCGTGCTCTGGTCTGGTGTCGGTCAGCTTGGATGATGCTTCTGCATCTGGTACTTCTTCATTGTTTAGATTTATGAAGGCTGGGACGAGGGAAGGCTGGGACGCCTTTACAAAGTAAAGGTTACTTGGTTCAGCTGACCCCGAGGTAGCCAGTTCCAGGGGTCTGTCAGTGGAAGTATCTTGGGACCGGGTCTGTCTCTTTTGTCTATATCTATAACAAAACAAATAATTTGCATGTTACTGTTGTGTCATGTACATGTATGTATGTAATATATAACCAAATTATGATCTAATTGATCAGTGAATTGTCTATATTTATTGACCTGATATGGAGTGATCGTTGAAATGTTTAAAAGATGATATCACACCAGTGAATCGTTTTAAATACACAGATTTTCTAACAGCCGAAAAGTGTAAGTGTTGTCACCCTGCAAGTGTTCAGTAACTGTTGAATTTTAGATGTTTTCAGTTGGTACAGAACATTCTCAAGGACCATTGTTGATATAACAATTGTTAAGAGATCACTAATATCTATTTCTACAAACGATTAGCTGTAAAAAGCTATGGTAATTATGCCCTTTCTCAGCCGCATGAATGTGTGTGATAATAACAATAAGAATATTATCTATTATAGATATTTCACATTTCTTTTACGTACTGAACGAGACTCATTTACATCAAAGCTCGTTCTTTGAAAACAACTATTTCAACCGAAATAGATTATATGAATACACAATGCCTTTTAGAAAGTGGTCAAATGTAACATATGTTATATTTGGGATTACAGTTTCTCATTACAGTACAGAATCTAGTACACCGCGGTAGTGTAGGTGCCTGACTCTGAGGGCGTAGGTTCGAATCCCGGATAGGACTCCACCCAACAAATGTACGAGAATCTGTACTGTACTGTGAAAGTGTAATCCCAATTATAACATGTGTTAAAAATGAATGTTTGTTTTAACATTGTAATTAGTCGTTAATATGTAAACGTATTTACCTGCAAAGAATAATTGTGATGATTGCAAAAACAACACAACTCACTGCACACGGCACCGCAAGTGAAACCACCCATCCTGTAAGTGGAACATCAGTTAACCTTACACATTATTCCATAGTTAAATGACACAGTCCAACGTTTGCCTCTTTGTCTCACATGTCCATTGTTAAGAGTGAAAATATTAATCCAGTTGTAGTAGAATCACTGGGACGGGGAAAGTAATGACAATTCATTTCCTGAATACAGCATGGCGCAAAACCAAACATTCAAACTCTCCCTCTCTCACACGTCCTCTATCACTCACTAGTCGTGGGTTGTACAAATATCCAGTTAGGTATATTGGGGTAGATCGAGTTAATATTTCATAAATATTTTGATACTGACTGCCAAGCAAACGAGTCGATATAAATGCATTATTCACATCTTGATTGCTGATAAAAAAGAATTGTATCATCATTGTGTCATCTGTTTCTGTATTTACTTCTATATATATTTGAATATGGGAGCGGCCTTCAAATTGGCCAATCAATTCATGACTTGAATATTTTCATGAATAAGTATTGTTTAAATCAATTAGGTATATTTTATTATTATTATTTTATATATAAACATAAACTTTACATGAGGTAAGAAAAGCAAGATTTATGGATGTCAACTTCTTTATTGTGAATACCACGACGTTTCGGAGTGTATGCTTACTCCTTCATCAGGTGAATGCCCTTCAAAGATTACATTCACCTGATGAAGGAGTAAGCATACACTCCGAAACGTCGTGGTATTCAATAAGAAAAACGAAATCCATAAATCTTGCTTTTCTTATGCATTCCACTTCTAAATGCCCTTCAAAGGTTATGCATTAGGTGTTAATATAGGTTTATTGTGTAGTTTGTATTGTACATGTCGAAGTTGTTCTTGACACTATTGCGTGACTTTAGATCACCTAAATGACCCTAAAACGACGTTATGTATTTACAGCCGATAGAAGAGTGAAATGTATATACACCGTGAAATATAATTTTGCATACTCGTTGTTAAAAATGTTGATACGATCGTCGTTGCTTTCGTAGTCCGCTGTGTTCGTTTACTCCCTGGCGAGGGAGTGGTTAGTCCAGGCGTAGATTTAGTGGTCGTAAAGGACGCTGTATCGTGAGAAGATTGCACGCTTGACGTTTCACTGCTGTGTCCTGTGAATAAAGCAGAGCTATTAACAATGACACGCGTCGATTTGCAAGTTTAAACAATACGTTAACTGTGAACTCTACACGCATTAACAACTGTATCCTAACTCAATACAAATTACTGAAAAGTATATACAACGGCAGTACAATAGAGTAGCAGATGCAATGGGAGTATTAAACACAGTAGTGATAACAGCAATGAAGTCAGTGATAGTTATTTTATGTAGCAGCAGACGTGGATACATTAAAAAGAGTCTGAGGTGAACTGAGGGATATCCAGTTGCAGTTGGAAATACAAATAACCTTCATGATAATATAAAATCATCTGCAAATCTTCTAAACGTAACACGTATTCCCATTAGGAGATAAACATCATGTGTTGGCCAATTTCCGGGTGTTATTGAGTATTTGAAGCACGGGAATTCGTTTGGAACCGACGGCGTCAGTCGGAGGTTTCAAATGAAATATTCCCGTGCTTCAAATACTCTATAACACCCGGAAATTGGCCAACGCATGATGTTTATCGACATTGTAAACACAAAAGTAAACCAAAAGGTCCACACACGTTTTTGTGTCTGCACTCATTGACATCGAGTACGGGTACAGCAGTGAAATGTCATCAGCCGGCCGTTTCGGCTGTCTCCCATGGTAGCATCTCGAACTGCTCATTTGTGACGTCATTCAGACTTTACGTCACAATATGATTTGAATGACGTCATCACAGCTGACGACGTAACAATACAATGGTATGAGCGATGTTTGTACGTATTAATACGCAGCGAATTTTCCGGGAATCGAATACCTTTCGATCATGTTTTTCAACAGATTAAAGAACACAGTGACTTTTGGTTTACAATGTTCATGGTAGGTATCGTGAGCGTTGTACGTTCGGGCTTTTGCTTGACTGAAAATAGAATCAAACCTTGTTTACTCCCAGTCGAGTGAGTAGTAGGTCCACGCGTTGATGTCACGGTCGTAAAGGACGCTGCAGCTTGAGATGATTGCACACTCGGCATATGACTGGTGTGTCCTGGGAGAAAAAAACACCAAATCCTTCAGAATGTTACGCGTTGATCTCTAACTTGAACGTATTCTTTAACAACTGGTGGCAAGGAGATAGTTACTGAAAGGTCAATTGAGGGGAAACAGGATTATCGGCGGTTCCAGAAGGGAGCTCACCCTTGTTGGCTAATCGGAAATTCAATATTAATCCACAGTCGTAACTAACCGCACTTGTCACTGAGAGTACATTTCACTGTATCTTTGACCACTATATGATGGGAAAATATGGGCGTTAAGTTTAGAACATGAACGTCAACACTAAGCTATGGCAAACTACATTTTATTTAAGAGCTGCATTGCAAGGTCATGGTATGGTGATCAACCTCTTATTTCTGGCGATTAACATGTACAACCCGGATGTTTCACATTGTATTGTCAATGTGTTATAATTGTTAATAGTCCAGTACTACACGTAATCTGAAAAAACGTGTGTGATTACATATCCAACGTCGATATAGTTTGAAATACTGCTGATGTGACTTTAAATTTTAACACTCACTCATTTACATAAAATACAATTGAATTGCAGTTACTTGTATTGTCTAAACATGGTACAAAGAGTGAGTCAGTATGGTTTTACGCCGCTTTTAGCAATAGTCCAGCAATAACACCCCGGGGGATACCAGAAATGGTCTTCACACATTGTACCCATGTGGGAAATCGAACCCGGATCTTCGGCGTGACGAGCGGACGCTTAACCACTAGGCTACCTCACTGCCCACTCACCATACAAAGGATATAACTTGTATTATTTGTTTCTATTTATGCGTGTGTATATATATCTTTTGACGCATGTTGTGATCATGCAGTGGCCATGCAGAAAAACTCACAAATACACAAACAGTGGTAACTAATCATATGTGTACATAAAGTGAAGACAGATGACCAGGGACATAAGATGCTAGTATGCAACTAGCCAATAGCTGCAGAAGGTGATGTTGTTTCTGTAGTCGGTGTGTCCAAAGTACTGGACTAGACGTAATTTGTTCATTTGTAATGTTCATACGCATACAGAAACCACACTGCAAATACATGGGGAAAATATCTCATGTAAGCAGGTGAAAATGTTTGAGGAGTAGCGAGAGCAATAAAACGCAAGTATTGACTCACCAATAGTTGTAGATTGTGCAAACGCCGTTGTTTCAGTTGTTGGTGCATACGAAGTACTTGGACCGGGTGTACTCTGAGAACGTGGCAGCTGTGGTGTTGACGTGGGTGTGGTTGATGCATCCAGTGTTTCTCTGCTGATCCTTATGTTCATTTGACCTGAATCTATGAACAAGTTATTTCTGTAGAATTCTCTACGTGTTTATCTTCAACAGATACGATTTCTGGAAATTGTGGGAAATTAACATAGAGTCACTGGGATTATTGTTATGTTGTTTGTTTACAGAAGTAATTTGTATTGAGTTAGGATACAGTTGTTAATACGTCACAAAACACATTACTGTGAATGCAGTATTATGCGTCATATGAGGATAGCGTCAGTTCCAATTTAAGTGTTAACTGACTCATAAATACTTGTAGCTAGATAAAAATAATGAATAATTATAGTTAATGTAATTCACGAGATACGCTTAAAGATAATTACGATTTATGCACTAATACATACCAGCAACATGTATCCATACATTTGATCCATTCTGATCATGGTTATCATAGACTATAACTATTTCGGCATCTGGTCTCGGTAATACCCTATTGTACTGGTTCAAGTTCACGTTTGTCCAGAGTTGTCTCTCGTCACCTGAGATGTTAAGCATCCCCGACCTCATCCGCTGTTCCATCAATGCTACTTGTAAAGTCTGCCCTGTGATCCTAGCAACACAGCTGCTGTTCACACCGACACTGTCAGGGAAGCCGGGAGAATGGAGGTACACCGACCCGTTTACTGTTGTTGTGACTGGGCTACACATGTTCATACTACCTGAAACACAAGGCATATCGCACGTATAACAACTCTAGTGACAAATGTGAGGTCAAAGAGTTTCAAATTGCTGACACGGACTCTCTATTTTGCATATATGTCCGGCTTATCCATGTTGACCGCCTTCGTGGTGTAGTGGTTAGAGCCCAGAGCGGAAGATCGCGAGTTAGATCCCCGGCCGCGTCACTCCAGAAGACGTTTTTAAATATGGTACTTGTTGGTCCCTGCCTGGTGCTCGACATTAATGGGTACAAGAAGGACTGGTCGGCTCGGAGTCAGTATGATGCGTCTGAGTGGGCTATTCATGCTTAACTGCGGGCATGGTATCTTAGTGAGCTAGCACTAAAAAACCAGCTTATAATAGTCTGGGCTAGTACAAGCAGCCACACATACACACGCATGCACGTCCTCATATGAGCGAAATATTCTTAGCTGCGACGTTAAACCCCATTATGTTCTAATTCGCTTCGCTCAAACGAACATAAAATATTTACCAAGTACAACATACTCGTAATACAGGGTGCTGTCTACCGCGCCTCGAGAGCGAGCAGGTTTATTTCTTAAATTTACATAGCAAGAGCTCATCGACACGGATCACAGATATAAATATGCGATAAACGCGCGAGTCCATACACTGCCCAATCGGATATCCTTCCATAGTTCACACTAACACAAAGCCGGATCTCCACGTAATCATGCATCCGTGAGTCTTGTATACATAAGATACGACTCAGACATTAAACATTTGCAAGTAACTACAGAAAAACAAACCATTTTAGTCCCACACAAGAATTACCAGCCTAAACATAAAGCATACTTAACTTAGAATATTGACCGTTCCACTCCATAAGATTCATCTCTGTTGAGTCTTTGGCTGTGCCCCTGTCACTAATCCCAGGATGCGTACAATACTTTCTTTTGACTTCTGCTGATCCTCAATCAAGTAACTTTGTATATCACCATAACATCACATCCGTGGCCTACATGTGCACACACGCCCAGTGGCCTGCATTTGTAACACACAGCCAAGTGGCTTAACACACCGCTCGGTGGCCTAACACACGGCCCAATGGCCTACATTTAAAACACACGGCCCAGTGGCCAAACACACGGCCCAATGGCCAAGCACACGGCCCAGTGGCCTTGTCTCCGATGAAAATAAAATTAAGGCAAAGCTACTCGCCTGAGTAACGCGTAGACCTCGAGTGACGAAACAATACCTTCAACCCACTTTGTAACCTTCTATCACGTGACTAAACAAGCACAACTTCTCGTGCAACACATGCCTACCGTATTTACCCGAGATAATTTAATTTATGTTCTAATTTGCTTCGCTCAATCGAACATCAAATATTTACCAAGTACAACATACTCGTAATACAGGGTGCTGTCTATCGCGCCTCGATATAAAAAAAACGGGCCTGTTGATGCACACCAATTTTACTTCCAACGACTGCCATACAAAAACATCCTTCAAATTCCCAAATTTGCGGACACTGAGAGTAATGAATTAACATCGTCTTTCACGTAACCATCTTTTGCCGTCTCTGAGTCCCAGCGGCCATGTCTTTTGAACAATCTGTGCGGGACACCGGCGTTAGCCGCAGCACTGGCTCCCCCTGAGCGAAAACTGTGCAGTCCAATCTTAGTTGCATCTTCATCAATGAACGTAATTTTATCTAGGAATATTTCTCTAGCTCTAGTATAGGACAGCGGGATTTCCCTTTCAACTTGTATTTGGATTTACTTTTACAATAACACATCTGTCTAAATATGTAATCTTCGGAAGAATCGACTATATATGCTGCCTCAAGATACCTCTTTAACATAGTAACTGGACACTAGTGACAGAGATCAAAACACTTCTCCCATCTCTGTAAACGTCAGTTTTACTTTTACCGAGAAATATACTTATATAGCCTTTTTCAAAAGTAATATCATTTCTATTTATGTTCACTACTTCGGAAAATCTAAAAACTCCTGCGTATGAGAGCAAAGACATTGATAAAAACCTTAAATCTAGCAAAGTAGCATTGTTCCCACCAAACATATTTACCAGCTTTAACAACATATCTGTGGTGACTGGATCTTTTTTAACCACAGGTTTAACACAAGTTCTCATTGCTGATTCTTTAACATTAATAACCAGGTTATCTGCACAAGGATCAGGGAAACCTGCGACCCTATGAGCCCATGAAATACTGTAAATTGCTTCCATTATGCTACAACTATTTTTACCGCTTTGAATCAGAGAAACTAAATACAGTGAAACGTGAAAAGGAGATGCTGGGAAAAAACAAATATCTTCAAAACTGGAAGCCCATTTTCTCCAGTTCTTATAGGCTCTCTTATACTTGCTTGTAGTAGTTGGCGCCCTTGATTTCAACTCTACATCGGGTAACTTGTCAGCTAGAATCTGTAATCTCTCATCCTGAAGAGTTTTTCTCTCACTCCACACTCCAGCGGTAAACAGCTCTGAGAATGTCCAGGGACATAAGCACCATTCTATATCCTTATGGCTAATGCATAACCTTGGAAATTGTCAAAAACAGATTTTCTGCTGCCTCCCTGAGAGGAAGTACTACCGCTTAACTGAATAAAATCCTTTACAAAGGGGCGAACTGTACCATTATCAAACAAAATTGACCAATACGATGCCGATGGCCAGTAGGGAATGACCAGTGTTGCTGGAGCCCTATTGTTCAAAGCATACTTGACAGCTTTTGTCACTAAAGATACAGGTGGAACTACCCAGTTGTTATCTCTAGTCCAATCTTGAGTGGACGTATCAACCGCCCCCAAACGTGGAGTCCAAAATCTGGAGTTAGACCTATTCAGCTTAGTATTGATATGACTGGCAAACCTGTCTACGGAGTGAGGACCCCACCTGTTGTTTAACAGCTGAAAAACACGATCCGATATGGTCCAATCATCATAATCTTGGAATTTACTCAAACTGTCCGCTTTATCACTCTCTTACCTAGGGATCCAACAGA